TATTTTTCTACTTGAATTTTTACATGCTTTCGAACTGCTAGGTTGGCAGAAGCTGGGACAAGTAATGGGAGCTCATTCCATTGCACAACACTAGGGATTCGAACCATTGAATTGCTGACCTTTCTGATTGACAAGCTCAGTGTCTTAGCCACTGAGCCACTGTGTCCTATTCCTTAGAAGATTAGAAAATGTAAAACATGGCAATGCTATTATCTTCAAAGATTTTGAAGAGGCCCTCAGCTGATGCTATCCCAGGATTATTCTACTGAGATCACTGATAGATACTCCAGCTAACGAAGTATCCTAAACAACCCCAGACATTAAAATATGCCACAGAAAGCTCTTATAGCTCACAGGACATGTATTTCAAGACCATATTTTATTTCTGAATCTTGGAAACTGTACCTTCCACGTGCATAGGAAAAATCCCTGTGAAATAAATTGTGGTGAGGAGAAGCCCTAGGATGAAAACTTCAAAACCAAGATTATCAAACAATGCCAATTAATAAACATATGGAGGTGGAAGCAAAGCTTGCCTCTTGAACCATCTCTTTGATGAGTTTATTGGCAGCTCGGAGATCTTCAGGATGGGAACTTTTGAGCAGGCGGGCCAGCATCTGCAAAGACACAGAGATCAGAAAAAAATAGGTGTCTGTGGAAAGCTTACAATAGAAGGGTATCTGAAAAAAAATAGATATGAGATACAGAGCAGAATAATTTAAGGGCATTACCTTCCACATAATGTTATCTTTTTAAATCAATCAGACCATTAGAAATCTCAGCCTTATATATTTTGATAGAAGGCTAAAATACCCCAGAAAGTATTATAATAATCAACAATAGAGTAACAACAAATTTAATATTTTTTGCTTTCTCTGTAAAGCAGGCTAGCATAATCCATGATGTACTAAGATAAACAGCCAGATTTCACGGGCTGTTTCTAAACTTGTTTAAGGAAAGAAAAGCAGGTGATTTAGTGAACCAGTCACGTGTTGCCAATTTGTTTTTAACAATATTATATTGAACTGTATGGCCCATTGTTGTAACCATGGCTACAGACAATTTCATCTTTTAGCCCAGACCAGGGCAATATAGTAGCTCTAGAAGTTTTCTGATTACAAATCTATCAGTCCATTAAAAAAAAAGAAGACGCCCCAAACAAGTAGTCAACAACGATGAGAACTGAGGAGCAAAATTAATCCATCCAATCCAAGCTTATTAAAACTTGCTGGTGTCAGTTCACTGCAACTCCTAAATAGCTCATATTTTCACTTTCCACCCAAAATCTTTTCATGTGATGCAGTACCTTGAGAAGCTAAGAGCTTCAAACCTTAGATAGAGCAAAGCAATGACTGTAAAGTATCTAGCCAATGAATTGCTTTTTACCTTGGATTTCTCTTCATCGTCAAAGATTGCATTCTTTGGTCTGGGAGGAGGTAGAAGGAAAGGTGCATCATCTGGCAACTTGGGGTCACATTTTACAATCCCTGGGGGGAAAAAAGGAAAGCTCCTACCAAGAGTTCCCAAGCAAGTAGGCAAATGATCCATTTCCCTATCAGGCCAATTTAATAAGTCTCCCCGGTTTGATCCCTTTTTCCAAGGGAACAAATGTTGCAGTGAAATAGACAACTTCTCAGTTAAAATAAATGGACNAACGGCTGATGACCTCTTTCTATCGGTCCACCATAGAAAGTGTCCTCACATACTGCATTACAGTATGGTATGCTGGTTTAACAGCTGCGGACAGGAAGGCACTACAGAGAGTGATCAGTTTGGCACAAGAAACCATTGGTTGCCCTCTGACATCACTGGATGACATTGCCAGGTATCACTGCTTTAGGAGAGTAAGGAAGATACTCAGAGATGATTCACACCCTGGTCAGGGTCTCTTTGCACTTCTACCATCAGGCAGAAGACATCAAAGTATAGCCAGCCGAACAAATAGGTTTAAACATAGTTTCTATCCTTGGGCTGTCAGACTTTTAAATACAATCACAATCACTCCATGCACATGCTAGTTTTTTCTTTCTTTCTTTTTTTGTTTCTGCTCTAATTGTGCACCAGTGAGGTTAAAACCAATTTCGTTGTATTTAAGTGTAATGACAATAAAGATTATACTTATACTTACACTTATAACCAATTTTGCTTCCTCTCAATTATCTAACCTGGCTAGAACAACATAGACACAAAAATGCCCACTTGACAACAGAGATGTCAGAAAGGAAAGCTCACAAAGTCTACCTGTGCACAAGGTAACTTTGGGTGTACTTTAATCCAGAAACTCATGCTTAGAGTAACTTATAATGGAATGTGAAGAAGTCTATTGATATCTTAGGGTTTACATGAAATTACTTGAATGTGTAACTGAATGCTTGCTCAAAGATAACTTACCCAGTGCTTCATCATTGTCTTCTGTGTCACTAGCAAGCCTAAAAAGCATGGGCCTCATGCGTTCACAGCGCTGATACAGCTCCTATAATGAGGAATATTAAAGTTCAGTATAATTAAGTGCACTTCTAGGCATAAAAATACATAGTCAAGTAAGTGGGGTGGTTTTATTTTACTGACTATATCTGGATGAACCTGTATGAAATTATAAAATTGATTTTCATTTGAAAAGACGCAAAAGGGAAAAAAGTAGGCAAGAAAGACAACGTGGGAACCCCATTCAGAAGCACTCTAGAATCTTTCAGTCCTAATTACAAGGAGAGTGTGGTTTAGGACAACAGATTTCTTGGATCTGAATGACCTTGAAGCAACAGATCTAAATAGAGTGGCATCCTTTTCATCCATGCTCAGTCATTTGCAATTAAATGTGCGGTCAGAGTGTATTTATGCCTGCGCATAAGTCAAGATTATGAGGAGCATGCCTGAGTGACGTGCATATCCCAATTCCAGTTTGGTAATTGCTCATTTTGTTCATGGATTCACAACTTCTGAAAGGAGCAGCCAGTGTTTGCTCTGTAAGTGATAGTTTCAATAAGAGGAAAAAGTTGCACTTTCTTTTACTGAGCTATTCCTGAAACATTAACACTTTTTCAATCATCAATTGACATCACTTACTAAATTTCAGGTTTAAAGGCTAAATTCAATTGTTGGGTGCACACAACACTTTGAATTATAGTTTGTTTAAGTAAGCTTTTTGAAATACGGCAGGGATTCAGTCAAGGCATGAAGCCAAATCAAGCCAAGTATTACGATGTGTTAGTCATCCCACATGCGAGTCCAGAGACTGTTTATTGTGGCTAAACAGTCTCTGGACTTTGTAGAACCAAAGAGCAAAAAGCATGTTCTGCCTCCTTCTGGAGGATTGTCAGATTAATCTTCTAATTCAGTAGTCTCCAACCTTGGCAACTTTTAAGACCTGTGGATTTCAACTCCCAGAATTCTGGGAGTTTAAATCCACCTGTCTTAAAGTTGCCAAGGTTGGAGACCCCTGTTCTAATTGGTTTCTGATTCTATCAGTCTTTCCCATCCAACTCTGGAAGATTAGACTGTCAGAATTCCCAACATCCTGACCAGTTTAGAAACTCTAGGAAAAGTTGTTACGAAGTACTATACATGACAGGCAAAAAAACATGCTAATAAAGATTAGCATATCTTTGATGCAACAGATAAGCAGTTTTAAGGCAGCTTAAAGATTAACAAGTATCAATATATACATTTTCTGTAGACTGAAGTCCATGTCAGCAGATATATGGAAATTTCTGATGAAGTAGGCTGTAGTGCACAAAACATTATGCCAAAATGTAATATGCTGTAATTTGATTTGGAACCTATGATAGGGAACCTGTTCAACCTAACAGTAAATGAAGTGGAAATATTAGGAACAATTTAATGGTATTTAAAAATAAAAGCAAATTTGCTCAATGTGTACATTTGCTGAATATATACAATTATTAGCACAGTCACACACCAATGTTTGCAAATCTTAGTTGCATTCAGGTGTGACTGATTTACTCATTTACAATACGGCTTAAGCAACAGCTACAGAAATGCAAAGCAGGCATTGGCTGAATGAAAAAATAACCAGGCAGCTGAGCCCCAAATGCAACTGGGGAGATACTTAGAAGACCAATCTCTCTCTCTTTTTTTTTTAAATTAAAAAAAAAAAGACCAATCTCTGTAAGCACCTTTGTTATAAATTATATAACCAAGGGTTTTCAAAGATGCCTTGTAAGGGCATATTGGACTAACAATTTTAACTTCTTCATGCAAACACAAATGGGACATTTTGCTGCTTATGTTGTAAGAACGCTAAATGCATTCACAGTTAAGAATTTCAAATCATCCATTAGCACATGTTGCAAAACAAAATGCAAAATGTAGACGTCTGCTCACTTTCATCAGATCCTCGCTACTCTCTGTCCTCTCTCCATTGCTATAGTTAGTAACCATGTCAGTCAGCAGTTTCACATTGTTATTTACTTCTTCAATGGCATGCACTCGCTTGGAAATCTTCTCCATTCGCTTTTGGTCCTGGAAAAAGAGAAGGGTTACAATCTCTTCCTACTCCTTAAAAAGATAAATATTCCTCTTGCACTTATGTGCTAGTCCTTCCAGACTCTAGGGGGCAGTGGTCATCTCCATTTCAAAGCAGAAGAGTCAGCACTGTCCGAAGACGTCTCCGTGGTCATGTGGCCGGCATGATTAAATGCTGAAAGCGCACGGAACGCTGTTACCTTC